GCTGGGATGTCCTCTGTGTGTAAATAAAATGGCTCTGTCCGTGTTGAAATATATTTTTAAAAATTATAAAAACTAAACATCCTACAGTATTTTTAGTCTTTATTTTACAGTTAAAATATGTGTTTATTAAATAAAGTCTAATGTTACAACTAATCGTGCATCCCTTTAAATAGAAACGCATTCTAGTTGGTGCTGCACTCACCCTGTTGAGGTGCAGGTCTGCTTGCTTGCGGTGCCTCCAGAACGAGACAGATTTTGGCGAGTGAAGGGGTGTGATGGGCTCCCACAGGTACAGCACCCTGACGCAGCCCCACAGCGCTCCCACCCCACTCAGAACCCACACAATCACCCACGGCAGCAGACACCTCAGCCAGGATGCTGGAGAATACAAATGGAACGTGAGATGAGCTACTCCCACATCAAACCGTGACAAAACTCTGGAGCGGCCGCTGCTCACCGAAGTCCTGCGTGTGAGTAGGAAACCAGACCAGCGTTCGAGATGGGACATGACCCGCAGACAGACCCGAGTTCACCGAGGCCTCCGAGCCCAGCAGAGAGGGCAGCGGGTTTAGGGACAGACAGAAGAACGTCAGSGCGCAGAGAAGCAGGCGAGAACGATCCATCACTCCAACAGTGGAGGGCGAGTCAGGCTCACATTTTACCTGAGGAAAGGGGAGGGGCATAAAATAAGCTTCACAACAACGCTGCCCGACTGTAAAACAGTCGTCTTAATAATTAAACACGTCACAAATATTGAACATTTTTGTTTCCAGTTCTCATTGGTCTGATGGTTGCATTCATGATAACATTTAAAGTGATTTAAAGCAATCCTGGGTGGGTTTTACCTGATCGTGATCCAATAAAGGACTTCCTGGTTCAGAGTCGACGCAGTATGGAGAGAACTGATGCGGGGAGCCGGAGCCAGAATCAGAGGCTGGAGGTGACATCAWCACTACTTCCTCTTTGAGCTCCACGTCGTCAGACAGCGTGACGGGCTCTGGGATAAAAAATAAAAAATAAATTTACTCATTGAAATCTTAAATTGGTATTAATTCTGATCCAGTAAGGACACTGACTGTTCTTCTGGTTGGCCATCTTGAGGGTCAGGTTTTCTTGTCGTAGTTTTTGGTTGACCTGCTGCAGGTATTTAATGTAGTCAATAGCCTTCTTCAACACTCCTGACTTATGCATCTGAGAGGAAAAGACATGAAAGAAGATGTGAATCTGAGTGTAATGACAACAACAACATTAGTAGGGATGTCCGATTATATCGGCCTACAGATATTGTCAGTCYGATATTAGCATAAAAATGTAAAATCTCTACATATCGATATCGGTWTTTCTTCTGTTAACAATAGCCCAATAAATTATTGCCCAGATTTGACCAAAATGTGTTAATAAATGCTTGTGGTCCAGAGACATTCACCGACGCGCAATTGATGACATCATCATACTGGATTATATCAGGGAGAGCATGATCCAAACTATTGTTTGAGACAAAATGTTAAAAATAAATATGGCACTTTTTCCATAACTTCAGTGAAATGGTTTTTATTTTGTACAGACAATGTTTCCCTTTTGGAATGCATCTAGTGGGGTATTACAGTAAAAGCAGGCATAGTGTCCCTGATAGGAGATATGTGATGCCACCTTAATATCGGTTTGTAATGTCGGTTAATATCGGAATTGGAAATTAGGTGTTGAACAACATCGGCATATCGAATATCGGCAAGAAATCAATATCGAGCATCTCTAAATATTAGTTTATTTAGTTTATAGGCACCATTCAAAATTCTCAAGGTCACCTTAGAGAAATAATAAAAGAATGGTAAATGCAATCAATTAAATCAAATAACAGAATAATGGTCCAAAACAAAACAAAACAAAACAAAAACAGTAATAATTAGCCAACCAGTCATGGGAAACTGACTGCAGTTTAGGGATGCACAATACTTCGCCATTAATATCGGTTTTGGCAGACACTGGTCATTTTTTAGAATATCGGTATCGGTCCGATATGTGAAGCTGGGCTGATATTAATGTCTAATATTGATTTCTCAATTTTTAGCTTTAGTTTCTATTTTGGGAGGGGAGATGGTTGGTTGAGCAGCATCTGTTTGATCGTGATAGTGATATTGATGCTGTGTAGCCAGAGATKACTGAAGCAGGGAGCCATGTCAGAGATCTGGTTGCTTATTTACAGTATCAAGAAAAGACCCAAGTCTGTTTGTGTGTATATGTATAATATAATTTGTGTGTTTGTGTGTATATGTRTAATATAATTTGTGTGTTTGTGTGTATATGTATAATATAATTTGTGTGTTTGTGTAATTTCGGTAAATATAGATTATCAGCCATAACAGCAATAATTATATGGGATATCGATATCGGCTGAAATTTTCATATCGGTGCATCCCTATGGCAGTTCAAATGATTTATGATTACAATAAATCGGTGTTTCTAAACAGATGAGTTTAAAGACTTGAAGATGTTAAAAGAAACATAATCTTTCAAGTTCTGGGGGCAGAGGGATCCAAAGGTCAGGGACTGAGCAGCTGGAGGCTCTTGACTCCATGGTGGTCAGGTGAGCTGGGGGGAAGAGGAGGAGGATGATCTGAGATTATGGGTGTGAAGGTAACCATGGAGAAGTGAGGAAATACACGGATGAGCGAAGCTTGTTAATGGTCTTAAATGAAAGGAAGGTCTTGCAAACTGTAGAACCATATTCTGACTCACTGGATGGATTTAAGAATCAGGAGTAGATAGAGGAAGAACCAGGTAGGCTAATAAAAGCCACACAAACATAATAGTGTTTTCTTTATCTACCTTAGCATCGTTGCCCATAACYAGGTCTCTGAGCTCCACGATCTTATCGTTGATGGAGGACCTGTATCTCTTCTCGATGATGTTGTGCGTCGTCCTCCTTTCGCCCTCCTTCACCACCACTCCAGGTCCTATGCTGCCCGCCRYCACCTGGTTCTGGTCCATGCTCGGTCTTGAGACATTGGTGCAGGCGGAGGAGACTGGCGGGAGATGTTTGATGGGCAGCTTGTCTGCTCCTCCTCCCATCACGACAGGAACGGTGGTGAGGATGTTGCTGCCCATCAGCGTCTAGGAAGAGAAACCGGCGCGGGTGCAGTCTTTTAAAAACAACATTACRATGGAACCAGCTCTCACGTGACGGTGTCTGTGCTGCTTACTGGGACTTGTAAAGCTGCGTTCTGGATGGGTGTAGTCAGGGTGGTRATGCCTGCAGGGCTCTGCATGGTGGACAACACTTGTGTCCCGTCTGGTTTGAGAGTTGTGAGAACCAGTGAGTCCGTCTTAAGAATCTGAGGCTGCTGAACCAGAACCTAGGGAATGCAAAACATTTGTATAAAGCTTCTTTTTTACAGTTTTTAATAACAATAGAAAAGCTGGTTATTGAGCTTTGAGATGTCAGAGTTTCTCCAGCGTTACTTACAGGCACTTGCTGTTGCACAGTGTGAACTGCGGTGGGCGCTGTGGAGAGCGTCTGAATGGTCTGACCAGTCTGGGTCAGGACTCGCTGATGCTGGATGGTTAGCGGTTGAAGCTGTGGGGACGTCATGATGCTCTGCATTTGTGGCTGAAGGACTGGAGGAATTGAGAAAAGTGATGAGGGATTTGTGAAGTCGCTCATTTCTTTAACACTTCAAAATGTAAAACTCTGGTCCTTTCCCTGCAGTCACCTTGGAAACTGGGAGCAGGACTCTGGTGGCAGATGACAGGGTTCTGRATGAAGCGAGACTGTCCGCCGTTAGAGGCGATCATCACAGTTTGTGCTGCCTGCGTCTGGATGGGGAGGGGCGTCTGGGTGTGGGTCTGAACCAGAGTCTGGACAGGGAAGTTTTGAGTCTGCAGGGGAACAGCCTGGGTGTGCATCTACAGGAAAAACACAAAGTTTTATGTTCTGCTTTATATATATATATATATATATATATATATGTGTGTGTGTGTGTGTGCGTAGTAATAACTTTATATATCACAGTACTCTGTGTGAGACTTTAACCTGAATAAACAAGTGTTTAAATACATCCTGAGCTGGATGTGAGTTTTTTCTTGGCAGTAAAACAGAATCTTGCTCTGATGATTACATCTCTGGAAAAGTCATTTATCTCTGTATAAGACGTGCAACAGCCCAGTTTTCAGTGCACAACCTAACAGAGCATGAACATGATGTATAACAGCAGAACCAGAGGTAGAATGAATAAAACATGACTTTTAAATGTTTCATACCTGGATGGTTTGTGGGGCAGTCTGCTGGAGCTGCGGCTGGATGGACTGGACCACCTGAGGCCGTGGCTGCAGCAGCAGGGGGCTGCGGGTCACCTGTTGATGCACTGAAGGAGTGGTGACGGGGGAGGGCGTCTGTGCGGGAGTGAGGGGAGGGGTCAGGGGTACAGACTGGAGGGACAACGACTGGGAGGAGGAGAGGCCGACGGTGCTCTGGTAGGAAGCAGCGGCTGGCGTCTGAGGGGTCTGAGGGGTCTGAATGGTTGGCTGCAGGGCAGAGCTGACGCTGCTGGTTTGTAGCGGGCCCCCTGTGGTCATCTGGTCCTCAAACATGTCGGGGAAGTCCCCCACCTGGTTGCTGACAWACTGCAGCATCTCTACGCAGATTTAAGACAAAATGTATTTACATTTTTAAGAAAAGCAGGAGAATGATTTTACTTTATAGCATCCAGGATAGCCTACACTTATTTTTTTAAGAAAATGGCTGTCCTAAAACCTCGTAAAAGGCAGTAAATCTGTGTCGGTGCAGGCTTTATTAAGATGTCCTAATCTTGCTAACAGATAAAACGACAGGCTGACCTTGAAATGACACATTTCTCAGAGGCATTGTTACTGTTCAGGTCATAAATCAATACAAAACAGCCTTCAAACAGAAAACCTTGAGGAAAATAAGCTGTAACCCTGATGGTCCTAAACAACAATGGCAGATAATGCAGCTATAACAATGGTGTCCTCTGCTCATGTTGTTGAACACATTTAACACAATAACAAAGGATTACTGGTATAGTTGTATAATTTCCTCATTTGCTAGTTTATAACCTGAATCTATGTCAAATTATAACTTCATTACAATGTGTTAGATATGATGATTAGTGTTTTTAGGAAAATAAATAAGTTAACTGGACCCATTTTTATTATTTTAATTTAATAAAACATTTAGAATATAATCTTGCCAAACAAATCTCTTTAAAAAACTAATCATAAATGCAAAATAATGATCATTTGTGATGAAATTCAAAGGCTGTTTTATTCATTTGCTTCACAGTTTCACAAGTTTAACATGGAGCACTCTGTTCATCACTGCTCAACTACTACAGAACTCATGTTAAAAACAGATTTCCTGTTTGATCAGCGTATCTTCAGCTGTCAGGGTCACCAGACTGTAGCCTTGAACTTAGTTCTGCTGTGAGACAATCAGACCAGACAATTCAACAAAGAGCATGTTTATGGACTCTATGAGAGAGTGGTTTTAAAACCCATGGTTACCTGCAGACGTCACATGAACAGCCACAGATTTCATTCTGACCATATATTTGGTTAATAAATTGATGGATGTTTATGTTTTTTTTCTTCTATGAACTAGAACTCCAAGTTCTTTCTTAGTTCACACTACTGTGAAAGTATTTTTAAACTTTTCAACTTTTCTGCATTTTTTCTGCTGGTTATATTAGCTGCATGAAAGACTGTTCTCTGAGAAGATTTGGATACAAGAACAGACGTTGAAACCTCAAAGATTAGTTGGATACAAATAAAATATAATGCAAGGACATTTGTTACTGAAGTATTCTCAGCTGTGTGAGCTTTTGTTTGACAGAATCATCTAAAAAAATGGTGCTGCACAGAAAGTATTCATTTAAAAGATTATCTGGTTGATCTGGGCCACAAGCTGCTGGAATGAATACAGGTATGACACTAAACACTGTTTATTCTGAGTCCATCAGACTGACAAGGCTTTGTAGTAGAAGGGTCCAGGTGCTGAAGTCCAGTCCTTTCACAAACTGAAAACATTTGGAGCATCATGATGTAAAAAAGTGGGAAAAATATTTCCCAACTTTTTTATGTTTTGCTGTCATCAAATTACCAACTTTATTTTGTCCTAAGAATAGGACGATATCTAAATCTAAACCAATGAGGTTAACTGTGTTMCATTGTGAATAAAATACGGGTTTCTAAAATTTACAAATCATTGAATTTTATTTACATTTTACACAGAGCCCCAACTTTTCAGAATTGAGGTTGTAGGTAATTCCTGCACATATTGACAGTGATATTATTTACTAATGTTCAGCTGAAACACTTAGTGGTGAAAAGTGCAGGTATGTAAACCCCACAGAAACACAGCAGGAGCCATCTGACCTTCCTGCTGGTGTTGAACGTATTGTAGGTACAAAGTGAACAAAGTGCACGATGTGAAACTTGAAAGAAAACTCATCTCCTGTTGTATAAAGTGAAATGCTGCYTCATCTACAGGCACAAAATGAGGACAGAAAGAACTATGCTGACGTYGTTAGTCAAAATCTGTCATTTGGAAATGATTTTGTTGCAAAGTCAAACAGTTATTAAAGCAATAATTTCCACAACCCATGCTGATGCACAGGAAAAGTGGAAGGGAATGAACTAGTTACAATAAATGATTGGCTCCAGAGGAACCCAGTTAGAAACAAAAATGTAATTTAGAGTGAAAATAAGTCAGAATCAGAAACTTTTATGTGAATCTGGTGAAGAGGGGATTGGACGAAGTGGTTGTTTACCAACTTTGAAACAAAAATTTAGTTCCTGCATTATACATGAAAGTGATGGTMTGGACATAGACAACTCTAGGTTTTGGTCTCCCACCCATTATCAACACATTATCTGTGCCCTCGTGCAATCCTGCTTCCATTTGCTCACCCAACACTTCCAACATCTACTCCCCTCATATACACTAGCATAAAAAAAGCCACCGTGAAAATGAAAACTTATGCAAAACATATTCCCTAATGATTGTCATCACGTATAAAAATATCAATTTCATGGGAAAAAAATGTGACCGATGAGGGACCGGGATGTGGCAGGTTTGATAGCCCACCAAAGATCCTAAGCCGCATTCCAGGCACTTAAATRGCTGCCTGCTGCTCCATCATGTACAGCATGTGTGATGGGTSAAATGCAGAGAACAMATTTAGTCATTGTTCCGGCACGTACAATGTTAACAATATAACATCACAATATCACTTTCCGTCTTTTACACCTGGTTTACTTTGGGACCCCAGGTCAACAACAGCACCTGTTTGTTGTTTTAAACACACTGCACTTTTGAGACTGTCTTGAGACGGCACCAATTAAAAACAAGCTAAACCCAACGGCGATGTTGTTTTATTATTGCACCTAGGGTCTTTAACCAGCAGCCCCTCATATACTCGTATTTTTACGGCCACATAGATTCTCCTCTATGAGGGACAGATCGTTAGTGACAAATCAGGACAAAGCAACTTGGAGGTACAAAAATTTCAATAAAGTTGACACTAAGGATAAATCTGTACAGAGAGTAGTTACTAAGGTGGAGGATAGCAACAAAAAGAGGTTAGACAATCAGAATTGCAGTTGCTAAATTGGGAGAATAGCACTGTTTTTTTATATATAAATAAAGGACTGAGCCGAAAAGCACACAGGCAGTCTGATAAAAGACTTGATCTATTTTTGGATTTATAAAAAAAACTATAACTCTACATATCACAGAGATAATGAAAGATGATTGACTTTAAAAACACAAAAAGAGCTAAAATTCACTCGTTTTTATAAACTTAGCACAAAAAGATAGATTTTAGAAAAAACATTTCTTTGTTGTAACAATGCTTTTTTGGCAACAAACCTTATATTGTTGTAAAGCCTGTTAATTTACCTTTTAAATGGAGCCACATTTAAGAAACAAGCATTTGTGGGATAAGCGGTAGAGCTGAGTATGTGTGTTGCGTGAAAATTTGACAAATCTCCTCTGCCAAACAGATAATTTTGCTCTTCACACTTGTTTTGAGCTTCTGGTACTTCTAGGTGCCTGCTATAAGATTTATYGCCAAGAAGCATTGTGACAACAAAGAAATAATCGACCAAACACAAATTTCCTTACGTTTTGTGTTACGTTTAGATATTAAGCTAAAATTTGAAGTGGTAGTCACAGGGACTGATCTCCAAAATGTATTCTACGCACCAACAAATTGTCCAACATCGTTGTTTAAAATTGTGTAACTAATATGTCATTCATTTTGTCTGATCAGGATTCAGTAACCCCCCGTCCCCGGCCCAATTCTGGTGACTCTGCACTCATCAGCTCAGTCCTTTCATTGTGAGATAAACCTGTTTGCTGCTGGAGGCTGCAGTGCTCAAAACTGGACCTTTAATGTTGGAGAACAAATAGTGCTTAATCTAATCTACAAAAAAGTTTCACACTGAGGCAAAAATAAAAATTACAGTGATGTTTCTTAAAATATTTCAGCATTGTAAAAAAAGCTGCAATGTTTTCTGATTTGTATTTTTCTCCCCATTTTTTGTTCATCTTGTTAAGTAGTTAATTTTTTTTCATTGGTTTGTTATTTTCCTGTGATTCTGTCTGTTTTTCATAAATGTTGTCCTGTTTTACTTAATATACATAATTAAAAAATTGTATTGTTTATTAAATAAAAAATACAAATCCCACGACCACCTAAACACAACCCTTCAATACATAATACATATGTTTAAAAATGACAAAAAAGTCTTGAAGTCAACATTTATTTAATCCTAAAACTATTCCAAGAAGACTGCCATAGTCTGAGAAGATTCTTACTCATTGTTTTCATCTGTTCTCAGATTAGTGACAGTCTATAAATAAAATTCAGTCTTCTCCTTTTGCAGTCAGTGATGATTGAAAATATAAATAAAAAATACCTAAAACCAAAAATCAAAATGTCACAGCACGTCTAAATATYAACTACACTAAACAAGAACATTAAGCCATAGATATGAACAACAAATTAGTCATTTTACTTAAATAACACTGAAAGTTTAGCTTGTCACGAGCTGTTAGGCTAAATTTCAGAGTTATTATTGGCAGACTGTCTCTGGAAACAGGCCAACATTTAAACAAACAACAACAAACAGCGTCGGATGAGACCAATCGACTCACCGTCAAAGTCTCCTAAAGTAAACTCGTCCCCCAACTCCGCTAAAGTTGAGTCCATGTTGTCCATAGGAGTGATGTACTCTCCAGTGTCCATCCCGTCCGTCAGCGGCTCGACTCCCCGGCTGTCACCGGAGTGTTGCAGGAGACAAGACCCAACACCAGCGAGCTCCACTCACCCGTCTCCACAAGGCCCTTATCTGAGCTAAAATAACAATTTAAAAAAAATAAAACTATAAAACCTCAAAGGAGGACAGACGTTACCGTCAAATTCATCCCGGACCAATTTATTTTTCAACGGGACGCCATCTTGTTTTACGCTAATTACGTCATTCACAAACAGAAGCTGTGGCCCAAAGCCGCGTCTGATTGGCTAAAACCTAGTTGTTCTTGTCATGAGACCAGTTCCTGTCCTCCAATGAGGAGGCTGCATTTACTGTGGTGTGATAGTACGTCAAGCATCAGAAGCTGGTGTGTCATTTAAATGAACCGCCCCGTTTGTTTTTTCCTAAAAATAAAAGAAAACTCAGGAGACAAATCAACACATTGATAATAATAATGGTTAAAAACATCAGGTTACATCCACACTGCAGACATGTTATTTATCCAACTTAAATCTACATTTAAATGATCTGATGCAAAGCCAATTGCTAAAATGCACTATATTGCCAAAAGTCTTTGCTCACCCATCCAAATGACTGCACCAGTGCACAAAGCAAGGTCCATACAGACATGGATGTCAGAGTCTGGTGTGGAYGAACTTGACTGACCTGCACAGAGTCCTGACCTCAACCTGATAGAACACCTTTGGGATGAATTAGAGGCGACTGAGAGCCAGGCCTTCTCCAACATCAGTGTGTGACCTCACAAATATGCTTCTGGAAGAACGGTCAAAAATCCCCATAAACACACTCCTAAACCCTGAGGACAGCCTTCAGAAGAGTTGAAGCTGTTCTAGCTGCAAAGGATGGACCAACGTCACGTTGAACCCTGTGGTATACGTGAGTCAAGGCAGGTGAGCAAATACTTTAGTGTATGTTGTAATATGTTTACAAATAAATGCAATGTCCTCAAACACAAATGAACCAAAACAGCACATTTTTTTGCAAGCTACACTTAAAAATGACAAGGCACTTCATCATTAATTCAATTACATTTTATTCTTTTTATACTGCAGAAAAAACACAAATATGTGGAAACTTGAATACAATGCTCTTGCAGTAAAATAAAACAAAGAGCACAGAGCAATAAAGAAATGCTTATGAACTGAAATAATCAAGTTTTCAATAAACTAAGTGATACATTGTCACAAAGCAGTGCAACACACTCAAAGTGCAACTATTTTAGGATTTAAAATGAATTATTTTAATAAAAACAAATTACTGCAATAAAATTAACTCCTACAGCAAATCAGCAAATAAGGACATTTTGTCCTTATTTGTTATCTGTTTTGTCACAAGCTGAAAAACACAACATTTCCAAACAATTTTTTGTTATTATTTTTGTTTTCCTATATTTATTGATGAAATTTGATGAAATTTTAAAAATCTTATTCTGATACAAAATCCAGTGGCGAACAACTCATTTTAAATATTTGATGGATGTTTTCTCAAAACAAGGAAGTGTTTTAATAAATCAGGCCAGCATTAAGCCACGAAACGCAGTCATCAGTTCTGAACTGTTTAACTAACCGTTTGATAAAAACATTTCTACTTTTTCCTCTCAAAATGTAATGTCTATTCATAAAACATTTCTTGCATCATACTGATAACATTAATATTTATTTTAGTGCTGGGCATAGATGTTTTTTTTAAAAAATCCAACTAAGTTTATATTTTTTTAATCGCGACCAATCGCATTATGCGTAAAATGAAATTATGACGCAAAGATGTTTAGAGCAGTTTTAAGGTACTCTTTTATAAAAAGAGAGGTTCAATGCATTTAAAAAAACTTTTAACAAATAAAGCAACTCAATCTGTGTATGGTTCGTTCATTTTTCTCCCTCTCTCTCTATACGGCCCTGACGGCCATCAAGATCCCACCACCTGCTTACTGTTGTGTTTGTGTGTTCATATCCAACGAGCAGACTCAAAAAAAAAAATTAAACTTACAGTGTTAGCACACGTTACAATAATTACCACCATTAAGTAGGGGTGGGTAAAAATATAGATTTATAAATGCATTCCAATATATTTTTTCCAGTTCAATATCGATTCAGAAAATCCTTAAATTTAATTCAATCTCATTTTTTTTGTTTACCCTCCATATTTAGAACAAGTATTGTGCTACTGCTTTATTTTCTCATGTTATTTTTCAAAATATCAATGTATACTATTTCTGTTTATATGAGCGAGAAAATAAGCATCTACATTCAAACAAGGACTTTAATGAATTACTTGTGTACTGAAAATGATATTGAAGCATTTAAAGAAATATTGAATCAAACTGTGACCCAAAGAATTTAAAYCAAATTGAATTGTGACATTTTTAACACCAAGCCCTGCTGTTAAGCACCGGTTGAGTTAACGTGATAATAACACGTTAACGTGCCCAGCRCTAATTTATTTATGTGAAATCAAAACTGAAAAACATTAAAATTATTTCAGTTTTGAGAGTTTATTTGTTCCAGTAGATTTCATAAGATTTCTTTTCAGAGTAGCGGGTTTCTGCTGAACCGGTTCCAGATCTCACTTTCTCCTTCACCACCTTCACCACCAGACCACCCGCCAGAGCCACTCCTGCTGCAGCTTTGCCAATCTCAGCCACCGCGCTCAAGATGCTTGTCGCCACGGTGCCCCAGTGGTTGGGTACGACCCCTGTGGTCACCGAGACCACCCCAGTCCCTGTTGCGTCACACGCAGCCCCCGCCGACCCGACAGCCACCTCCTGAGCTAAAGTTGCAGCAGACTGAGGTGGTCCCGCAGCAGCAGAGGCCAGTGCGTGCTGCGGTGCTGCTGAGGCTGCAGTTTCTGCTCCGCCAAGAGCTGCTCCCTCCAGAGCCGCACCTAAAGCAGCCCCAGCCCCCAGGGCACACCCCACACCTGCTGCAGCCCCCACAGCAGAGGCTCCCATCAGGCTCACCTGACCCAGAGCATCTAAAGCGCCCTCCCGAGGACTCGCCGCCTCTGTGCCGGCGACAGCTCCAACGTAGCCCCCCAGAACCCCGCCTGTCGCCGCCCCCAGAGCCACAGCCGTTTTTCCGGACGCCGCTGCCACCACGGCCCCTACGGCGTTCCCCACGCCTGCTCCTCCTGCCGCGGACACCCCGGCTAACTGTCCCGCAGCAAAGCCGACAGAGTTTCCTACGAGGGATGCCCCCGCTGCAGCTGCTAAAGGAGCAGCGGCCCCGAACACCACCCCGACCGCCATGCCCGTGGCTCCAGCAGCCACCAGGGCCTTCACTCTGTCCAGGACATTAGCAGAGAGGGCAGCCTCCCTCCTCAGACGGCTCAAGGACGAACGGAGGGAGTGTCGCCTGCGGACCACCCCGCTGACACCCTGACGCCTCGCTCTGAACCCATCYCTCAGGAGGCCGAAACCGTTTCCTCTCTCAAAATGAATCTGCTCGTCGTTTTCTCGAACGGACTCCGAGTCACGCACGCTTCGTTTGGTGACTTCACTTCCTTCCTCGCCCTCTGCTTGCCCTCGCTCCCTCAGCATCCTCGTCTGCTCCGTCACGACGGCAGCCTCGGCCTCCAAAAGCACAGCGTTGGTGTAAAACCTCCCGTTATTCAGCCGCACCATCTCGTCCACTTTCCTCAGCAGCTCTTTAACYTGCGTGGAGTTACGGGGGTCTCTGTTGTTGAGTGCGTGGTATCGACGCCCGCACCTGTCAATCAGAGCTTTGAGCCCAGCCGGCGCAGTCTCTCTYAGATATTCCTCAATCCCAGTTCCCTCCAGGTCGTCCCCCCGGGTAAAAAGAACCACAGTGTGGTGACGGACAGCAGCTTCTCCAAATATCTGGCTCAGCCGGCTCACGGCCCGGTCCTCGTTGTCCGTGTACCGACCGACCGGCACCACGAGAAGGAACGCGTGTGGCCCGGGGGCCGACAGAGACRCACATTTGGCGATCTCTGCGTGCGTCTGCTCCACGCTGAGGTCAGTGTCCCCGAAGCCCGGCATGTCGACCACCGTCACCCTCCTCTTCCTCCTGGCCCGGTCTCGGACCTCTGCACCCTCTTCCTCGGTGAGCTCAGTGCTCCCGAGCTCGCAAATCCGGGTGACAGAGCTGGCGCTGACCTGCGACAGGAAGTGCCTGCGGCCCAGGATGGTGTTTCCAGACGCGCTCTTGCCGGATCCGGTCCGCCCAACGAGGACCAGCCTGAGTTCGAACAGGTCTCCGTCACAGTCAGCCTCCATCTCAGCTGGTTCCTTTCCCTCACCCTGTGATGGAAAAACTGGAACAGAAAAAAAAGGTAATTTGTTGAAACAGTTCATGTTAAAAAGTTCAGTGATTTAGGAATTTGGCAGTTAATAAATGCTGTCTTTTCTCTCCCATGTTAATGAGAGGAGCAGAGACCTGCTAAYAGGAGCTCAAGATGTTCTGAAAAAATAAAAGAAATAAATTAAAGACAAAATGAATCTCTTGACAAAATACTGATTGGTACTTTAAATGCTGTTAATATAAAGCTGCCTGGTAGTGACACTTATGACCCATCACTTAAAGTCAGGTGATAATGTAATTACTTGATTTGTGTAGGGATGCACCGATAGGAAAATTTCAGCCGATATCGATATCTGATATAATTATTGCTGTTATGGCTGATAACCGATATTTACCGATATTACACAAACACACAAATTATATTATACATATACACACAAACACACTTGGGTCTTTTTTTGATACCGTAAATAAATAACCAGACTTCTGACAYGGCTCCCTGCTTCAGTTATTTCTGGCTGTGCAGCATCAAAATCACTATTATGATCAAACAGACGCCGCTCAACCAACCATCTCCCCTCCCAAAACACAAACACAAAGATAAAAAGTGGGAAATCAATATTGGACATAAACATTGGCCCAGTTTTACATATCGGACCAATACCGATATTCTAAAAAATTGCCAATACCGGCCGATACCGATATCAATACMGATATATCGTGGATCCCTAGATTTGTGTGTGCGATTTTTTTATTTGTCTGTTAATAAAATATATCATGACCCACAGGATGGATGCTAATTAAACTTGAAAAGTAATCCCTGAAAGTGTTGACAACTGATTAGCTTTAAAAGTCAATTCAAGATGGCTGCCATTGTCAACAAACCTTTAAAAAAATCCTAAAAATAGCCACAACTCTGTCACTTTTACAGATACTGAGCTAAAATGTGTAACAGCAGCTGAGAGTCACACATATTTGGTCTCTCTCTCAAACTTTTCTACATAACATTCTTTTCAAGAATTGACAAAAAAGGCTGAAACACTGATTTTTTTTAAGATAATGTGATGCTAATTTAAAACGCCGGCATCAAAAGTGCCAGATGACATGCGTTCCTGTAAAGAACGTCAAGCCAATAATTTATGAAGCGGATGTCTGCGTGAACCTCATAATAAAGCGTGCAAGAAAATGTTTATCTAATCAAAGTTAAATTAGCTTTATTGATTTTAAATTTTGATTAATATTACCTAAGAGATCAATGAGTTTTCTAATTTATAAAGTGGTAAAACTGAAGTGCTCTCTCTCTCTCTGTATGTATAT